TAAAAATTATGTATTAATCCAAATTAATTATTTGGCCTTCTGACTTTAATTTTAACTTCCTCCAAGTTTGTATGCAGTAAGACAATCTACTGGATGCTAGTATATTAGTTCCTTTGATGTTATTATTTCTCTTTACAAATCAATAAACTGACATTCTGGATTCTGTAAGTCTTGTGACCTTATTAAATATGAACCTCTCACGATACAACTGTGGATACTATTTTATGAGGAATCAGAGCTTGTGAACCAGTATGACTAATAGCTGGATATTGTGTACTTTTCTAAAGCCATCAAAGTTTTGAGTACTTATGGAAATCTTCTTGAGAACATCCAGCAGACCTGGCAACACAGATACATATTTTGGCCAAGTCAATAGCCTTTTCCATTTTGAAACTCCAAGAGAGTTTCAAGGGAGTTATGTAGTGATATTGTTGTTTCACACCATCAATCGATCTGATGGGTGGAATATTAAGGATAAGGTAAAGTGATAAAATTAAATAGAGAGCCCAGCCATACTTATCAATTACTGATAGAACATCTCAGAAAACCCATAATGCTATTATAAACTGCAATAAGCAAAATGGTCTGTATCTAACACTAGGCAGCAATTATCTCAGAAATGCATATGAAGATGACATCATACATTACAAAGGACACATGGAAAATTGATGGAGGGCCAGATTATTTAATATGATACTTGTATATTGTAGAAAGATCCATTTCCATTTTTCCTACATGCCACAAGCCTAAACTCATTCTAGACAAATGAGTGTTTCTTTCTCTTTCTTCTATCCTTTAAAAATATTTCTTAAGACACCTACTCTTCCAGGAATTTGTTCATGTGTACTGTGATCTAACTTGTTTTCTCAAATGACTAGTTAAGTATCCCAACACCATTAACTGAATGTGCAAGAATAAGTTAACATAGCAAGTCTGAGATTATTTTCCTTACTACTTGCTAGATTGGTTGTTGGATTAAAGGAGAATTCCCATCATTTCTACAATGGATCGTTGAACTTAAATTTTTTGTGATAGCTATGCTGAATACTTTCATTCTTTCTGAGATTCTGGAATTTGGGTCTGTGCTAGGCAGGAGGTGCCTACCTGAAAAGCTCCCAGTAAAAATCTTGGGCAGTGTAGTCTACAGTAATGTTCCTTAGTAGACCACATTTCATACGTTGTTACAATTTCTTGTTGGAAGAATTAAGTTTGTCCGGTGGGACTTTACATTGAAAAAGGACTCTTGGAAGCTTGGGCCTAGTTTCTTCTGGAATTGATGTGTTTCTCACTTTACTAACTTGGCGTCCATTATAATAAATCACAGCTTTGAGTATAAAACGTGCTGAGTCCTGTAAATCCTGTTACTGAACCAATACCCATGACCCTGTGGGTGGTCTTAGGGACAACTGACACACTATTTCACTTTTCTTAAGGAATCTGAATTATCATAATGTAAATGTGTACGTATGGGTTTCCTATTTGCTTTTTATTTATCTCTTTCTGAGTTGATTATACAGATGTTGTTGTTTGAGACATGGTCTTGTTATGTAGCCCAAACTGACCTTGAGCTCCTAGCTCACCTTCCCAAGTACTAGAATGATGGTCACACTTAGCCTCTTTCCTTCTGTTTTAATAAACATAGGATCACAAAAAAATTAAAATTCTGTTCAACCTGTAAATTATTTTTCTTTCAAAAAAATTTGATTATTTATAGGCTCATGTGCACACAGAAATTCATGAGGATTTCCTTCCTTCCTTCCTTCTTCCTCCCCTTCTCACCCCTCTTCTCTCTCTTGGCAAATTTCTTTTTTCTTGGGGAGGGGTACTGGGGTTTGAACTCAGGGCCTACACTTTGAGCCACTCCACCAGCCTTTTTTGTGATGGATATTTTTGAGATAGAGTCTCTCAACCTATTTGCCCAGGCTGGCTTCGAACTGTGATCCTTCTGATCTCTGCCTCCTAAGTAGCTAGGATTACAGGCGTGAGCCATTGGCATCCACCTCTTGGCAAATTTCTTGAACCTCTAATAACTTATAAACCAAGAACCTCTACAAGGTAAACAGAAAGAACATACAAATACTCCATTCATAAGAAAGAAACTTCAGGCTGGCGGAGTGGCTCAAGTTATAAGAGCACCTGCCTAGCAAGTGTGAGCCCCTGAGTTCAAACCCCAGTTCTGCCAAAAAAGAAGAAAGGAAATTCAACTAGCTATAAGTACCAATACCTAAAACATATTTAACATCATCAAATATAAAAGTAATATCACATTTGGTAACTGAGTAAATCACTTAAGAATATGTGTTGATATGTCACAGACACATTCAAAACAGTACCTATACCAAGCTCACTATCCTTTCTAAGACAAACTTTCCAGCCCACAGCACCATCTGAAGAAAAAATGAACCCAATGAACCGAACTAGCATTAGACACCTGGCTCAAGTATACACAAAAATAAATCCAAAAGAATAAAGATTGGGGGTGTAATGACAGAATATGAAGTTTTCTATATGACTTTCTAATGATATATCACAGTTCATCCAGTGGTCAGGAGGTGGGGTCAAAAGGTGAGGATTCATGAAGTTGGTGAGAGGGATCAGGAGTGTCACCATGAAGGGAGTGCATGGTCTTCTAGAAACTATGTGAAGGATGATGTTATAATTGGAATGGGAAGTGTCCTCCAAAATCTCACATGAGTGTTAAAAACGTGGTCATCATCTTGTGGTACTATTAGTAGGCAGTGGAACTTTCAGGATTCAAGGCCTGGTGGAAAGAATTCAGGTAAAGGGGGGGAGGGGAGGTCCCTGGGAGGGGATATTGGAACCCTGGCTTTTCTTTCTGTCATTCTCAGCCACCATAAGGTGAGCAGCTTTGCTCCACCATGATATTCTGCCTCATCACAGGCCCAAAAGGAATGAGACAAAGCAACCAAGGACAAACAGACAGTAGAGAGCAGAAAGTAAGTGCTGACATGGTGGGAGGAAGAGTGGTAGCTTAGCCCATGGTTCACATTCTCACCCCTGGCCTTTCCTGATCCAGCTCCACAGGTGTTCACAAATTGTCACTTCACTGTTTCCTTTCTCTAGGCTCCTGAGAACCAACTCAGTTCATATGCTCACATTTCCCACCCACACAGGGAAACAGCATTGGGTGGAAGCCTAGGGATGGAGACAGAGGGTGTTCAGAGGCAGGAGGGAGAAGTGTCTGAGGCACTGTCAAGCACCAGTATCTAGTCTCAGCCACCACCTCTCATGGATGCCATTTCCAGGCACCCACCTCCTTCAATAGCAACTTTTGCTTCCCTGCAGGAATCCTTCTCTCAGGATGAGGTCTAGCTTCTTGAGCTTCTGGACAAAAGATGGACCTGGCTATGATGCTGGTGAATGGCTGAGGGATTGTTTCTTCTATCAAACAATGCTGTAATTATAGTCACTTGAGAAATTGATTTTCAAGCTAATACAGCATGCAGACACCTGCCCACCCACCTACCCACCTTAACATCCAGCCAGTTGTCCCATTTCAGTCTCAATTGTCAGGTGTCATGTCCTTCTTGTTCCTCTTCCATGCAAGTAAACAGCTTTCTGCCAGCCCAAGCCAGAGTCTGTTCACATGACCCACCATCAGCCCACATGAACATGCAATCAGCTTGTGGGAGCCCTACAGCCTGGATGGCAGAATCTTCTGTCTCTGGGATTGAGCTGCTTGCTACAAGAACCTAAAGCTTCTGACCTTGATGAAGACAGCAATTTGAAGAAAAGGTGGATTAGGAGCCAAAATGTCCAGTCCTAGGTCTGGGTCTTGCTCTGTAGGAGCACTCAGCTGGTAAGCAATGCTCCCTGAGGACTGAGTTTTAGTATTTTGTATAATGTTCAGGATATACACATGAAAACACACACACAGACACAGAGGATCTATCTTGAAAAATATTGATATTCAAATTCCAATTTCCACCATGAGGATGATCTCTGTTAACATCTGTGGTTTGTATAAGGAGGCCAAAATGCTAGTTTGTCTTGTATCTATTAACCTTCATGTACTAGAATCAGGTGGAAAAATCACTTTGTGCCCTGAAACAAAACAAAATAACAAGGTGAATGTGTTTGGTTCATATTTCCCATTTCTTGGACTCTAAAGCAAATCTGTTTCACTTTTACATCTGTCCAAACATGTTTCACTTTTCAAGACTGTAAAAAACATTGTATGGAGTGAAATAATAAACTTTGGTAATTTTACATTTTATTCTTTCTAGATAATTTTGTATCTGTTTGCAAGCCAGTTCTGAAATTGTAGCTTTTCATAACTCGTCATTCCTTTTACGTTTTATTTTGTAGAATTTTCCATGATCAAATAACATATGCTGGCTGGGCACCAATGGCTCATGCCTGTAATCCTAGCTACTGAGGAGGCAAGAAATCAAGTGGATCACAGTTTGCAAACAGCCCAGGCAAATAGTTCTCGGGACCCTATCTCAAAAAAACCCTGGTAGTTTTTCAGAAAAGGGCTAGTGGAGTGGTCCAAGATGCAGACCCTGAGTTCACACCCCAGTACTGCCAAATTTTTTTTAAACGAGAAGGCAAATAACATATGCTCGCCTAAATTTATCACACCTACATTTTACTTTTTAAAATGGGATCTTTTTTTCCATGTATGATAGCATAGCAGTGTCTTCTACAAATTATGGAAAGCATCAGGGCTTATCCTAGTTCATTTGAAAACACATGTGTATACATATATATATATCATCACTTGTAATGGCTGTATGACAGTGCCTTAGCATTTACCAAAGGCACTGTAGTAACAATCATCTTCCTGAGTGAATTAAATTTATGTGCTTTTCTCTTTCATTCTTAAGACAGCACTGAAGAAACAGCTGTACTCTGAACAGCAAAATCCAGCTTCTCAGCCATGTGTAACTTACCTCATCTTTCATATATTCCTCAATATACGGTTCCCACCCAATCTAGGAAGATGTACGTATCATGCATACAAGGACATTTTTCCTAACTACATGGTTTTCTTTACATCATGCTTTCCTACACTCAGTGTCCAACTTAAGCAGTTCCTTTTTCTTTGAAGCATACCCTGTGTTGCAGGCCATTGTAACCTTTGAGATTAAAGCTGAGAAAAATCCTTTGTATTTAGCATATCACTAATATATTATCAGTATTCATGTGTCATTTTTGCACTTGTATTTTAAAGTTCAAGGAAAAGAGTGATTTCTGCTAACTTTACAATAGAAGTTTATTGAAACACAAACAAGACTCAAATAGATATCTTCACATTACAACATTCAAAAGGGTAGCTTATTTATGATGGCTCAGTTCACTATAAGCTCACTTACTAAATATCACAATTTGGACAAGACAAGTATCAACGAACATGTTTTCAGTACTAATAGTCATTTGGCATCTGAAAAATGATCCCCAGAGTTGGGTAAAGTTAGTATCAGCAATAAAGACATACACTGCAACACAGAACCAACAGTAAATACTGAAAAAGAAAGCATTACTCAAGGAGCACAACTGAGGGAACGTAAGGACAACCAGAGATAAGTGGTTAACCATACTAATTTTCTTGATCTGCTTCAGGTTGATTTTGATTGCCGGTTTTGCTTTTCAGTTCCTTAGCAAATTTCTCAACTTCATGGAATGTAGAAATAAGTGGCTCAAGCCCAAAGTCATCATCAGTGAACACTGCTTCTTTTTTTATATTGTTACCAATATTCTCAAATATTGCAAGAACAATTTGAATATTGTCATTTGTCTCTTCCTTGTTAAAGAGGCCCATAAATTCTGACATTGCTTCAGTACTGAGTAGCTCTTTTGTCACCACAAGATTTTCAGACAAATTCAGTAGCATTTTCAGAATATGAAACCTTGTTTTAGCATTCCCCGTGGCTAGTAAGGAGAGAAACCCAGACATATAATTGGTAACCAGTGTGTGATAGTCAGTAGTAGTAGTGAGATGTCTAATCATCATTAATCCAGACAGTTGCTCAGGGGAATCCAAGCTACAAGCAAGGGTTTCCTCACACACTTGACATACATATGTCTGAACCATGTTTAGATTTGGATAAGGTGGAGCCATGCGAATCATGTTCTCCAAAAAACTTGTCCTAACTCGGGAGGATGGATAATTGAGTAAGGTTTCAATAAGTGAGACAATGCCTGCATCTCGAATGAAATCTCGGATAAACTGAGAAGCACTTCTCATACCCATTGCAATTTTAGATATTTCATGAATAAAGGGATCCCGAATTTTGTCCATTAATAAAAGGAGTTCTTCGAACTCTTCAGAACCAATTTTAAGCTCACACTGAATGCAGCTGCAAGACCAGTTCTCAGGCTCTGCACTCTCCCTGGCCCTAAGATGCTCTCGAATTTCCCGGACTGACCGGTAGGAGGGATCATACTGAAATGGGAACTCAGGTTCAGACTCATGCAAAGATTCCTGCTCTTCCCCCTCTGGGAAAAGTTCCACATGCTTGGGCTTTCCCCCAAACATTTCAGAGAACAGAGATGCTGCTTCTTTTGGAAATCTGAATGGGCTTATAGATGGGAAGCCAACCCTACCCCATGGACCAGGCTTGAACTGAACAGTGACCTCTTCCCAGCTCTGGGGTCTGTGAGAAGGATCAGGTTCTTGCTCAAATGAACACCTAGAATCACATATGGCCCTGAACACAGGGCTAGGATTTGATTCAAAATGGGCCTCATCTCCTGCCCAGAACCAGGACCCCACTATGGCCTCATTTTCATCAGCTACTGTCCTGGGCTCATAGTTGGTTCCATTGCCAATCTTGTTAGTCACCTCATCTTTAGCTCTAGACCCAAACTCAACAACTGCCCCTTCCTCATTTTCTGGCTTAGACTCACAGGTAGCCATAGTTTCAGTTTCCTCAAGGGCAGACCAGAACCAAGACTCAACAATCATCTCTTTGTCATCCTCTGGCTCAGATACATAGCATATTCCTGCTTCTATACTGTCTTCTTTTCCAGCCCAGAACCAGGATCCAAAAATGGCCTCTTCTTCAGTCTTTGACCTTGTTTCCTCTACTATTTGAGACCCATCCTCTGTATTGGCCTCTTCAGTCCAGAACCAGGACCCAACAATGATTTCGTCTTCCTCAGCCCTAGGCTTGGACTCAAAGCTGTCCCCTATCACTGCCTTCAGACTGGTCTCTTCTTCCCAGAACCAGGGCCCAACAATGACTTCCTCTTCATCAGTTTTGGGACTATATTTTCTGTAAAATCCAGCCTCTCTAATGGCTTCTTCATTGGCCCAGAACCAGGACCCAACAGTAGCTTTCTTCTCAGCTGCTACCCTGTTTTCTTCTCCAGCCTTGTCTGGCTCCTGAAGCCTGTCCTCTTCCCCAGCCCAGAACCAAGAACCAATGATGCCCTCCTCCTCAGCTTCTGGCCTTAACTCTTCTCTGTCAGTTGCTTCTATAATGGCTTCCTCATCTTCTTTCCAGAACCAGGACTTAATTATGTTCTCCTCTTCAGTTGGTAGCTTGACCTCTTCTCCAGTCTCATCATCTATACTGCCCTCTTTTGCAGACCATAACCAGCACCCTACAATGGTCTCTGGCCTTGTGTATTTTTTTGACCAGAACCATGAATCAACAGTGTTCTCTTCCTCCTCTGGTCGAGACTTCCAGCTTCCTCTACTGGTAGGATACATACAAGGTTCTTCTTCTGCCCAAAAGCAAGACCTATTATCAGTATCCTCAGCCTCTGCTGTAAGTTTGCATCTGGCACCAGCTCCATACTTTATACTGGCCTCTTCTCTAGCCCCAAACCACGGTGATATGGCTTCTTCCTCAGCTTTCAGTCCACACTTACTATTAACTTCAGCCTCCACACATGCATCTACTCTGGCCCAGAACCAGGACCCAATTATGGGCTCCTCCTCATCAGCTTCTGTCATAATGTCACAGCTTGCTTCAGCTCCTGAATCCATATGGGTCTGCTTGTCAGACCAAAACCAAGACACACACATTTTCTCTTCTTCAGATCCTGGCTTGGACTCTTCTTCAACCCCAGTCTCTAAATTGACTCCTCCAGCCCAGAACCATGGATCAATTATTTCTTTTTCCTCAGATCTTGGCATGGACTCACAGCTGACTCCAACAGCAGATTCTTCCCTGGTCTCATCAATGCCCCAGAACCAAGACCCAAAAATGGGCTCTTCTTCAGCCTCTGGGTTGACTTCTTCACCAGCCCAGAACCAAGATCCAACAATGAGCTCTTCATCATTAGTTGCTAGCATAGATTCAGAGGTGGCCTCGGTCCCAATTTCCATACTAGTCTTTCTCCCAGTCCCAAAACAAGAATCACCAATAGGCTTCTCCTCAGCCCTTGGTCTAGATTTACTGCTTGCCCTAGTCCCCATACTGGTCTCTTCTTCAGTCCAGAACCAACTACCAACAATGGGCTCATCCTCCACGTGTGGACTAGACTTCATTCTGGCCCCATCTACTATACTGGACTCTTCTGTGACCCAGAACCAGGTCCCAATGAAGACCTCCTCTTCTGACCTGGCTTCTTGCTTGGCCCTGGCTCTGTACTTGGTTTTGGATTCTTCCTTTGTCATTGCTTTTTTCTTCGACTTGGACCTTGAAAACATATTTGTCTTTTCTCTAGGTGAGAACCAGGACTCTTTTTTAGTATCTATAGACTCAGGAATGACATCACCACAATCTTCTCGCTTGGCCCTGTGCCTGGCCCTAGTATTGAACTCTTTTCTAGTTCTGGGTTTAGATCTGGATTTGGCCTCTTCTCCAGCCCAGAACCAGGACTTCATATGGTTTTCACATTCAGACCCAGAACTGGATTCAACACAGACTTCATTCTTCGACATAAACCAGGACTTACTATTGGCCTCTTCCCTGCACCTAGACCAGCAGCTAGTTTTTCCTTTGTCCCAGAACCAAGATGTCTTAAGAGACTCATCCTCAGAACCAGAACTAGATACAAGATAGAGCTCCTGTTTGTTTCTGTGCCTAGACATGGAATATACCTCTTGTTTAGCCATGTGCCTGGACCTGATACTGGCCTTTACCCTGTTCCGAGAACGAAATCTTGTGCTGACTTCATCTCCACTCCAGAACCAGGAACTCCCAAAGGATTTGTCTACCCATTTAAAATCAGAATTCTGATAGGCCTCTTCTTTGGGTGTAGGCCTGGGACAGCACCAGGACCCAGCATTGGTTACCTCTTTGGACTCAAATGAAGTCTGGAATCCTGTTTGAGAATGGGCCTTCTTTCTAGGAAAGCTCTCAGTGTTCATATTAACCAGTTTTCTATCTGTAGATAGGCAGTTAGCTTTAGCAACCAACCCAGAATCAGTACTGCCTAATGGAGAGTTTATGGGATTGGTTTGTGATTCTTCCCCTGTCTTTGACATTGACTCTGCCCCAAACTTACTCTGAGCCCAGGCCTGGGCATCATTCTTACATCTTGACCTACGAACTGACTTGGATTTACTCTTAGTACGTGTCCCACCACCTATATTGGCTTCAGTTTTGGGCCTTACTCCAGACATAACCTTGGTCTTCATTTTGGGCCTTGCTCCAGTCATTATCTGGGCCTGGGTCCTAACCTTGGGTCTGACCACCATGGGGACTTCATTCTCTATCTCAGCCACACTCACAACCTCTTCTCCAGCCTTCTTCACAGGCCCCACCTCAGCACCAGGTTCAATCTCTGCCCCGGTCATGGTACAAGTTAGAGAAAACCCAGTTTATACCCCTCTCCAAGAGTAAGTCTTAACCACAGATATGTCACAGAATTGTATCTTCACACTCTGATCTCTGATGACTTAGAATATAAAGCTGGAAACAAGAATTACAGTGGGTTCTTACTCCAGGAATCAGGGATGGTTCTACCCAAGCACAGTCTCAGTCAATAATACAGATAAAGTGCAGAAGAGGCACAACCAGGCTGGGGAAGGATGGATGGTTCCTGGGTGGGTGCAGACCAGATGAGAGTGGTTATTTAGCAGCAACTCCAACACCACAGGACCTGCCACTGCAGGTGGATCTAGGGAGAAAGAATTAAGTAAGGATTGCAGGGTCATCAAATTGTGTAGACTCAGGCAGAGATTTAAAAGAGAGACTGGTGCTGGATGGCAGGTGAGTCAGCTGGGCTACTAAGAATGTCTGTCCCTCTTGCCTGCTAGAGAATCAATATGGAGATGTTGAGAAAGTGTTGGGAATCAAGAGGCAAAAGTTCCCAGCCTGGACCCTAATCACCCCTGGACTCCTACAGCAGTGATTAGTCTCTACCACCCCCACAAAAGTGAAACCACAACCATACAAACCTTCACTGATGCGCTGCAATTTCTTCCTCCTGTCTGTGTTCAAGTGATGTTAAGCCCCACAGCAGACTTCAGGGGTCCTACAGATACACATACAGGAGAGAATGCAGTCCAAGTGCTTGGTAGATAGGCACACACACAGGTCCTAAAGGCAAGTATAGCAGCTATCTCACACATAAAGGGTGCAATCTGTTTAGTTTCCTGTCACCTGGTCCTTGCTCTCAGATCTTTTCCTGATCACAGCACAACCTATACCTACCTCAATAGTCCTAGTATCTCTGACAGGAAACAGACAAGGAATGCTGTGGCAGTGAGCAAATTACTGGAGAGGAGGAGAAGTGGTCCTGTACTCCAATAGATCAAAACCACTTGCCATGCTTTTCCTCAGTAGTTGTGCCCTACATTGCCCCCTTTCTCACTAACCTCCAGAGATTTGAGACAGTCTCCTCCTCGGCTTTTCCTTTCATGCAGAACTGACGAGCCTTAAAGCAGACCTATGGACAGATGAAAACATGAGGCAGTCAGGAAATGATAGTAGCAGCTAAGCTTGGAGGACAGACCGACACCAATATGGAGATAAGAGTCCCCATGCTATCTGTCTCTCAATATTTTGGCTCCTGCTGGTGGGATATGCTTGTTTTCTTCAGGCCCTATTGCAGGGATCCAGAAGTAAGAACACCTCTTGACGTCACACTCTTCCCATTGCTTCCTTCTCCAATTCTGAGGATTCACCACTAGGTGCGCCACATCCCCTTGTCCTTCGCAGCATAAAATGGGGGAAGGGCACCGTATATTCTAGAAAACAGGCTGTGAAGTGGTCCCTGTACTTAACACTCCGTCATCACCCCCTCCCCACAACTCATCTTTTCAGCTCCTAGATTTGGGAAGACGGGGAAGGAAGGTACGGAAAGTACCTAGAATGCAGTTAGATTAGAAGGCACTACCAGAAGCCTGACCTGGTCTGATCAGTCACTCCATCCCTTTCGTGTCTCCAGACATTGCCTGATGCCCACCCTCCATCTCCACACACCTCCAGAAATCCAGGACACTTTCCTGCTCCTTTTTCCCAAGCCTCTGGTCTACATCTGTAGATATGGGCTGTCAGAACACGCCAGGCCTATTGTGCACAGGAGACTTAGACATCAAGCAGGAGCCTGTGGGAAAGGACAGCACCCAGGACAAACAGGCCTCTTTTAGGTACTAGGGCCCGAGTGTCTAAGGCTAAGCTGGATTCAGAGATCAGAGGCCTGCCTAAGTCCTCATCCAGGCAGCCTCAAGGGGCACACCCCTGTTTATTCCCCCACAACCCTCTCAGGGCACAGACACGATCGAGGGCGGGGCGCGGGCAGCTGGGAAGCGGGCTGGAAGGCGGTCGGCGCGGCTGGCCTCCATACCATCTGAAGGAGCCGCTCTGCCCACCCCGCTCCGCCCTTGGCCCGGCCAGACCCGCGCCGCTCACAGCCTCCTCGTCGCCAGGGGTCCCCGGCACTGCGCACCTCTCTGGCGGATCCGTTCCGACCCGCTCGCCTCCTCCGCGTGGAGCTGTTGGAGTCTGGGGGACAGGCGGTCAGCCGGCCGGCAGTGGGAGACCACCCCGCGCCCCCCGCACGCCCCCACTTGCCTTTTCAGGCTCAAGGCCCAGGGAGACGGGCTCCCCCTGCTCTCCTGCGCTCTCCTCTCCTCCCGCCGCTCCTTGCTCAGACTCCCACCGCTTTCCGCGCGATCGGAATGGCAACGAGGCGCCCCGCCCCCACGCCTCTGCACCAAAGCCGGCAGGGGCTGCGCAGGATGCGGCAAGAACCGCTCGCCTCGAGGGTGTCGGGAAGGGGGCGGAGGGATACGGCGCGAATGGGCTCGACGCCCCCTCCCATGCCCACCATAGTTCCGACCCGGAGTGGGCGGGGCCGGGACGAGCCCCAGTCTGAGGGGCGGGCTCCTGCCGGTTTGCCTCAGTAAGACCCCCGACCGCCTGCCCTAACTTGGCGACCACCCCCACCTTTCTGCCACCGCTATGGTGCGTGGCCAGGAGGGGACTCAGGGCCAGCGGCTGAGCTGTGGGGGAGGGGAGGGGGGAACCGATATCGGGAGGTCTGGAATTGCTGCGCTGGAGGGAGCAGCGGATGGATACCTACTCGCCCCTTGATGCGGTGCACCCCACACTGCGCACTGCCTGTCCCCTCCCCTCTATTACCCCGCCTGCTCCCGCTCCTTCCCGGATGCTACCGGGAGAAACGGTGTCAGCACTGCAGGCTGAGAGGGCCAGGTGACCTCACAACACAGCAACAAGGGGTCTCTAGGGGCTTCTCCCATGTTTTTCTTCCATTGCTTCATGGAGCCATGAAGGGGAGGAAGGCACTTAAGGGGACTGAGGTGGGGGCCCCCATTACAGGCCTCACCTCTGCTCCTCTTCCAAAGGAAGGCTGGCCTGCACCTGTAGTCTCAGGAAACCAACCATTGGTCTGTGCCAAGTGTCATTCCTTCTGCCATGCTGAGCTTTTCTCATTCCCAGTGGGAACTCATTTGGTCATTGCGCTGTCCCCACTCTTGCCCAGAAAAGAGGGCTTTTCTCTGTCAGGACACACAGGGGCTCATACAGTCATCTATCTCTGCTGATACATAGCCTAGTGTCAGGTGTCAGGTAGGGCCTGTTCTGGCTTCCTGGCCACTGTCTTTCCTCGCCATCATGTCCAGGCCCCTAATGATATTTGCCAGTGTAGAAATGTGGCAGAGTGTGGAAATGTGGCAGGGTTTGGATCAGAGTGAATCTCAGTCCTAACCACCTGCCTACATTCACTTGTCATTCTCAAGGAAGGACCCACTTCATCAAGACAGAAACCAGGCTGTCTTTGAATCCTCTCCCATCAACTCTGCTTACACCCTTCCTCTGCTCTTGATTCCCTCCTTTCCATGTGTGGCACATGGGACAAACACAGCAATGGGGTTAAGCACAAACTTGATGCTGTTACTGCTGTCTATTTTAAAACTCATTTTAACACCTTTTCGTGTTTCAGATTATGCTCTCCAATATTATGTTAACTGGCTAAGTGGAACTGAGGTTGCAGATGGAATACTTTGCTAATCGTTTGGATTTAACGTAAAATCATGCTGATTTATCTTGGCCAATGTAATTGCAAGTGTAGTTTAGATGTGGCTGAGGGAAGCAGAAGAGCCATCAGTGTCC